CAATTTTTTTTTTTTTTTTTTTTTTTTAATGGATGAGAACGCTTCTCGTACCTATACCTCTCTCTCTCTGAGATTTATTATGGGAGACTGCAACGATGCATCGATTATGCGAAACACAAAGTCATTTCTTAATTTTTTTCATACGATTTATGCGGCGCAGACTACAAAATGGGTTTGAGAGGAAAAATAAAAAAATAAAAGATTTTTTGTACACGCTAAAAATTACATCGAGCCGGATAAATGTAAAATATGAAATTTAATAAAATACTTGTATCAAATTTCGGATCTTTGACGATTAGATTTTATTGATTTTGTGGGGAATAGAGTGAAAATAATATTTATCTGAAGTTTGAACTTTGACGTTTGCAGAGTCACAGTGCTCAAGTTAGATCCGTCGGTTAGGTATAGCTATGCGTTGGGGTAGGTCAGGGGCTTGGACTTATCAACAAGGCAATGCTTCTCCCAACGAATCGTTTTGGTCTCGTGATCGTAGGCACTTATGGTTCGACGCGGCAAGACTAATCGAAACGGTGGATTCCAGGTAATCGGATGTACGGTGAATTGCGCTGATAATATTAGATCCAATGGGATCTTCGTGTGGCTCGAGTAACATAGGCCAAACCCGAGCCGCGGCTGAGTGAGGGATATCGCGTGACGAGCGCCCGGCAAAATAACTCTCATTTTCTCAGTTTTGTCGAGTCGCGTCGTTTAATGTCTCCGCGACGTTTTAGAACGTAATACGTAAGTAAGTGCCGCGGCGCGGTCGACCATTATCCTCGTTATTAAGCCGAGGTGAGACGAAGCGAGTGAAATTGGCAGTGAGCGCGAGCGAGACGGCGATAGGCGCGAAGAGTGTAGCAAAAGGAGAACACGATAAAGACAGCACAGAGATACAAGGCGTATAGAAAGAGATCGAAATAAAGGTGAAAAGTATTAAAGAAAAAAAAAAAAAAAGAAAAAAGCCAAATAAATAAAACACGAACAACGACGAAGCAAACGAAAGGGACAGTGCGATAAGAATGAATATAAGCGATGTATGGTATAATGGGAAAAAAAAAAAAAAGAAAAAAAAATATGAAAACGAGGTAAATAGTGAAATTGTAACTAACCGGTGAGAGGGCCTCCTGCATATGCAGCGGTCCATTGTCAGCTTCATCGGTGCAGGTCGACATTTTAAATTCTCAAGTCTTCTTTTCTCCCTTCTTATCAGGTAGGCGAATGTGTCTGCTGGCAGTCTGGCAGCACGTTTCTTATTTTTTTCTTCTCTTCCTTTTAAATCTTACAACACGTACTTTCCTAGCTATGGCTACGAAGATAGTTTCTAGATATGGGGTAGTGTATCACAGGCTGCTGAGTAATATGGCACGTAAGAAGAGGGGACCTGCGGAGCAAAAATCGAAGAGACGAGGTTACGAAACCAGTCGGGCCGGCCCTGTTCGGCGGGCGCAAAACTGGAATACGGAGTCCGCCGGTAGTCTGGCGGATAGACAGGTGTAATAATAGATGTAACGAGGAAGCGGATCGAGTCTGAGTGACGGGGTCGCGTGGGAGGCGCGGGGGGTAGATCGAAGAAGAGGAAGAAGAAGAGGAAGAGGAAGAAGGAGATTGGCCATCAGGGGAAGGAGTAGCTACAGAGCGAAGAGCAGAGCAGAGCGAAGCAGGTTCGGCCGGTCTAACCTGATTCTCAAAGGAACCCTGCATCAGATTGGACCCACCTCTGTCTGCGGCTGTTTGTATTTCAAGTACCTACGCCCTCGCCGCCTACCGTTGCTCCAGACAGCCGGAGAGTAAGAGAGTAGAAGCGGCCGATAGGTACGTACCGCGTGCGACGTAACGACCAGGGAGACTGAGAATCCCAAGCGGCAGACCGACCGACCAACCTACTACTACTCCTCTTCTTCTTCTTCTTCTTCTTCCTCTTCTTCTTGAAACCAGCACGCTCCCGGTACCCGACAGTGTACTAAGGACTCTCTCGCGCGAACGATATTCGACACATTTAACCCAAGCACCAACGGGCCAGTTTCGAGATCGCGATATCGCCGGCGTTATATCAGTGTCTCAGTGATGCAGTGAAGCTACGGCCTACTTGGACCGATCGACCGATCGGCGCCCCGACGACGATCGGCTGCTCTTGGTTATGAGAAAGTGTCTTTCGACGGGCGAGCTTTGTGGATCGCATACGAGGCTCCGGTGCTGCCGAAACGGCCACGAGGTCTCGTCTCGGGAATTTACACGTGCTTCGAATGATCCTCGCGACACGTCCCACCTGACGTAAGGATCCCAACTCCGCGTGCGGTGCTCTGCGTCGCCTTCGGACGAAAGAGGCAACTTCTCTTCTCTCCGGTAGGTAACAGGTATTGCCGTGGCCCGTCGGCAGCAGCCAGAGTCAGTGCGTACTTATATCCGATGATTCTCGTTAACGTGATTTGGTTGACAGATTAAGAGGAAGTTCGAGCGTCGCGGAATTTAGCTACACCGAGACGCGGCAGTCGGGTACGGAGAGATTCGGTTAAAGAGAGAGAGAGAGAGAGAGAGAGAATTGGTGAATATGTGTGGGAGTGAGAGAGAGAGGGAAGGATGGGTGGAGATGTCCATAGTTCAGTAAGAAGACAGAGCGACAGAGTGAGAGAGAGACTGAGGAGGGGATTGGGATGGGTTCGCGAGAGAGGTAGGGGAGAGAGAGAGAGAGAGAGAGAGAGAGAGAGAGAGAGCGTGCAAGTGACAGAGAGAGCAACGAAGACACCAAGTACGGTTGGGCACAAGGAAGGAAGTGCTGAACCCACAGGCAGGAAGAAAGGACAGGCGTATTCTGGGTTACGGATGTTCAAGGAGATACAAGGGAGCGAGACGTATGGGTAGGAAAGTGTGTGCGAGTGAGAGATGTATAATAAAACGTCAGCGGATACTCACTTGTCGTGGTCTGTGCATTAGAGGGGAGAGTATGTGAAGTGGGTGCATTAGAATAGGGGGGCGAACTACAAACTACTGAGCGTCTCCTTTAAGTTCCGGATCACATCTCCGCGGATAGTGTCACTTGCGGTACCCGCGGCTTCGGCACTTTTACGGCCGCGCGCGGACCGACGCGCAAAGCCCCCGAACAGTAGGAACTGCGGGGCGGCGGTGGCGGGCGGCGGCGGCGACGAACAGCAGCAGCAGAGCAGCAACAACAAGAACAACCGGATCACGAGGAAAGGTCCGGCGACAACGGCAGCCCCGCGTGCTCCTGTCCCGATGGCTGCTTTGTGAAACCGATGGTCGCGCGCGCGCGCCCCTTTGCACAGCCGCTCGTATCACTCCGCGCACTCCCGTGTAGTTATCCGAACGCACTGTGTGTCACACCTGCCTCACCGGAGGATTCCTCCCGAGTCTCTCGGTGTCTCTCGTACTCGGAGTCCCTCAGCGTGGCGCTCGGGCGCTGCCAAGAGGCACAAGGTAAGGCAGGCTCTATTCTCTACCAAAGTTAGCCGCTGCTGCAACCAACAAACGAACGGTGCTCGGACCTCGGAGTTCTCTTCTCTCGGGAGAGGCAACATGGCCGCCCCAGCATCCCAGCCTCCCAGCCTCCCCCTTTCTCCATCGCCATCTCAGTCGGCATCTTCCTTTCTCTATCTACGCCTCTCGCTCGCACCTCGGCCGACTCCCACTCCCGCGAGCGAGCGAACGAGCGAACGACCGACCGACCGACCGAACCTTGCCTGTGTGTACACGGGAGACCCTGAGGCTCTCCTCGGCTCTGCTGAGATCTCTGCGAGCGCCGCCGCCGCCGCCGCCGCCGCCGCCGCCACGACGCTCGGAGACAAGAGAGTAAGCGCGCAGGTAGCCGAAGCTACTTTGAAGAAGGACGCTGTCTCGTGAGAGCGCAGCATCCGAGAAGGACCGAGAGTGCATCTTCGACCTGCACGGATACAAACAGAGCATCGAGTCATCGACGAGGCACCCGGAGGCCCCGGCCACCCGGCCATCCGGCATTATCCTTTGCTCCTCCTTCGCCTAGTACCCTCGTTCCGTCTCTCTTCTTACTCAACCTTTATCCATTTCACGTCTCTGTCCCTTCGTCTCTTACTCTCTCGCTCTGCCTCGTCTCTCTCGGGCGCTCCCCCCCACTTCTCGCGCCACCTTCAGAAGGATACCTGAGAGTCCGAGCAGCCAGGGACGTAGGAGCGAGGGAGCCGGCGAACATGTGAACCCACGTTGAAGGAAGAGGCGCGCGCGCTTCCAGACGACCGAGTCGCGCCTGTTCGCCAGGAGGAAGACGGACGGTGGGACAAGGAGGGGAAGCGGGAGGAGGACGAAGGAGGAGGACGCACAACGCACCGGCGGATGGACGGACGCAGACCGAGGCTCCGAGTGGAGGAAGGAACGTGCGATGAGGATAGCGAAGGCAGAGGCGGCAGGAGCGGAGGCTGGACCGAGGCCGGAGGCTGCCGAGAGAGCTGGAGATAGAGCTCGCCGGTGCACGGAGTGGGAGGGTGTACCAACGGCAGGCACGCTAGAGGGAAGGAGTGCGTGAAGCTATAGCGGCCAGCAGATTAAAAGAAGAAAAAGAAAAGATGGAATTAAAAGAAGAAAAAAATGGTGAAAAATGGGCACCCAGCGAGAGAAGACAGCCTCGGGCTATACCGCCTAATGCGACCCTGCTCAGGGAAGCATTCGATGCTAACATACCGTACGCACCGTGGAAAATTTTCAATTGCTCCCCGATCAGTCGATTCCCTTGAGATAACCGTGATAAACATTAAATACCAGATGGAACGTATCGGCAATCACTTAACTCCATGTTATCCCAAATTTTCTTTGTAGATCGTCGACCAATTATCTTTTACTACCAAATCTTTTTATCTCCTGATAAAAAAATTTTTTACTCCATTTCCAACTTCTATCACGATAACCTTTCGGCGTGACGTAGTATACTCGCGTCAAATCTTTCTCCATCTCCATTAACTCGATATCCCCTCCGACAGTCACCGTCGTGCGAATCTTCGATCGGGATGCTTTACGCCAATACACTCGATTATCCTCAGTAGGATGTATCGTGTACTCGACTAATTAGTCGCGTACAGTGAAGTTATTACTCTTCTTAATGGACGAGATGTGTCGGTGAGCATCGCTTGCGCGGGCGTCGGGGCGTTGAAGTCTCCGTAGCCCGGTTAAACGCGTTCGTATACGTATAATGGTTCTCAACCGGTTCCCTGCTTTCATTCAGAAGGAACTTGAACAGATAGATGGTTACCTATATAGTATGTACCTGTTGCATATATATATATATATATATACACACTTGGATCTTTCAACACCAGTTACCCCCAATCTCAAAACCAGGGTACGACACCATTTTTCTTCCGTATTGTGCCCGTACCTAATTTCCTTTCAATTATTACATATAGATATATATATATATGTATACTAAAAAGTTGATAAGAATTATCAATATATATCAAACTCATGATTTCTTGCCACTGTTATGAATATCTGTAATCGCAATTGCTGTATATTATTATATTATTAATAATTATCTTTATCAATCAAATTTTTAACCATTGCAATGGTCAGTACCCAAGAGCCTCGTTTACAATTTGCTGATAATAACCTGGAAATTTTTAATTCGTACACGATCGCAAACCGATCGCTCTCGGCTTATTCTCGATTAAAAGTCCTGGTCGATTCAGAGCCTGATAAATTTGAGCGATGCGGGCCTGGAGCAGCGCGAGGCAGCTCAGCACGGACGCCGAGGACTCGGAGCGTAACTTCTTTCGCGTACTTGAAAATCGTTAGGGTCCTTAAGGCGTGCGCGCGTCGCTCGATGCGAATAGAAACAGTTATAGCTATACTGACACGTAACACGGTACCCGTATAAAGATTAAGACGGGATCGTCGGAGTTTTCGTTTATCATAGTCTCTCGGTCTTCCAGAGACATTGGGAAGTGATCGACAAAATTTATAGCACAGTTTACGAGAGAAGCGTTAAAATACGTTGAGAGCAAAAGAAATAATTTTAATAAATTCCACGAGTATGAGTGCCCATAAAGGTGGGACGTTCGAACGCTGCTAAAGGTTAAATAATATTTCTTTTTTTTTTTCCATCTCGAAACTTTTAATATCTACGTTTCTCATCCATACTGCATATAATTTTTTGATGAGCTATGTAATCGACGTACATATATACCCATATCTATATATCTTAGCGCGTCTCTAAAATCCTATATATATACATATATATACGAAAAAAATGAAATACCAAGCAACGGTAAGTTACAGGTAGGATCGAAAGTCGATTAATAATTTTGAAAATTTCAATCGATCGAAATATCATGAAATCGTATAATTTCAAATTTTACTCAAATTACCCGCCTTTTATTCTATCCCAACTGAACGTCCACGTTGTACCACGGAATCGGGCGCCTTTGGCAAATAAAAGCGAAGCGTAAAAACAACATATTAACCAGTCTATTATCACCATACTGGACGACTAAATAATTATTGACACAAGAGTGCCAAAGTTCTTTTTTAAAATTTTCATTTAGTCACTCGGCCCAAACAAGTCCCGGAGTAACAATGCATCGTTCCAGCAGTGCGCAATACTACAGAATCAAAAATGTATATATGCAGTTAAACGTAGAAGCTTTTCTCAGTGCTGACCCTTTTTTTTTTTCTTCTCCTAATAGTATACCACCATAGTGCAGACCAGTGTTCCCGAGTCACATCAGTGACCCCGCGTTACTCCAGGTTGGGTTCACCAAGTACGAAACTTCCTACCTGCTTCACGGTAGAGGGATGCTGTATCTATACACCTCTGTACCAGGCTCTCTATCTATATACCTGTCTATACCAAGAGAGCCACGTCCTCGGATACCCAGTTGGGATGGTGCACCATAGAAAGTTTTTAAGCCGCGATGCACCTGTCAGGTCGAGAACACCCCCATCAGGATCTACCTGCCTAAGCGTCAAAAGCCAAAACCTTTTCAAAAGAGATATCCCTTAAACCATATAATTCGGTATAGTGAGTTCGACCTCGAAAGGCAACCAAGTACCAGTCGGCCATACTAAAAAATTTCATGTTACATAAAAATACAAATCAATTTTTTCTTAAAACTTAATTTAGCCCAATACCTTCGTCCAGCATCCAAAATATTTCATGGACCATTATTTTAATGTATCAAACAATACACCTACGCTCTCACGTATCTCCGAGCAACGAAATTATTGTATATATCTTAGTTCGTGAGGTTCCCGTAATTTCGCGCATGCGCAACGTTACCCGCGTACATCTCTCCCTGCTTCATTCCACGCGTCTCCTTCTGGCCTCGTACGTACCGGTAGGTGGCTCACTCGTAAATCCCTTGTACCCTGCAGTGGGATATATTATCTTAAGAAGGGTAGGCAACGCTGCGATAGATACGCTCGTAGCAATACAGGCGACAGTCAGATGGGCTATTGGAAAAAGATGTACGCTAACGTCAATGTTCGCACGAAGGCAAGAAACTGCAATGGCATGCATATACAGGCGTTTACTATCAGCAAATTGCGATACCCGCGGGCCTGACAGCTTTGTGGGCACCTTTGCGTTATTAATTATGATCAGGCATGCGAGACGATTCTTACGTACGTATACAGTGTTTCTAAGAAACTGGCTACCGCTCGTATTTCCATCTATATCCACAGCAGGTACCAAGCAGCGATGCTTATACTTTATTGATCCAACCTTTAATGAGAGCAGTCGGGATTTATATATATACGTATATATAAAATGCATCCCTATAAACATATCAAATTTATTGATAAAATTTAATATTTAATCCACCAAATTCCTTCGCCTTGATCCACGTTGCTTTTCCTGTGCTTCCTAGTCCTGCTGTGTCATTTACACCTCGGGGCTATGCGACCATTGCGTAAGAGTCACGCGTACGTGTAAATTGCGTTGAGGTATAGTCTAATTAGAGAGCGTCTGAATTGTTTCGTTCCCACCGGCTCGATGAGGTTAGGTCCCTTTATGCGCGGGACTGTACCTAACGCGGGCTTTTCAAACGTGGCGGAAGGAAATTTTGAAAAATTCAAATACGAATAAATCGACTTGCGCCAATGGTACTTTATGTATCTCGTGTTTCGATTATATTCTTTTGGTCGCGACAGTAAACTGGT